ATGTGGGACTCGATCCCGGGACTCCAGGATCATGACCTGAGCCGAAGGCAGTCGCTTAACCAACTGAGCCACCCAGGCGCCTTCACACAGAGTTCTTAAACAGTAGTTCTTAATACCTTTTCAGGTAGTACCCCTTGCTGTGCACAGCCCCTTAAATTTTGCATGCAAGTTGAAGAGCTTCACCCCTTCCCGTATCAAAAAAAAAAGAAAGTTTATTTGTGGTTCACTGAGCTTCACCTATCTCTCTATCCAGTGATTCCCAAAAGAATGGGAGTATTTGTGTATCACAGTCTCCTGTGAAATTTAAAACGCTATTGTTCTTCTTGGCCCTAGCCCTTCCTAGTTAGGTCTTGGCCACCTTTTGTTCTTATTGGCACCTCCTTTCCCATCACTGTTGTAGTAGTATTTTAATAGGTAACTTGGTTTCCGCAGAGCATTTACTCAACTAAGAAGGGAGTGACCTGTTTGTCCTCAGCTAGAGATAGTCAAGTGGTAAATAATAAAATGGCATTTAATTGACTTACCAGTTTCTTGTGATACAGAACATCCCTGGAGAAGTGATAAAATAAATCAATATTCTGCTATTCTGCACCTACCAAATTGACATTGGAGCTGAGGTTGAAGACACCACACCAGGGAAACCTGCCAAGAAGATTCTGCTATGTAATACAGCACATTATGCCCTCTACAGATACTGTTTTTTCATTCTTGAGGCTATTAGTTCTGGGTTGGAATTCAGATAAAGCTGGGAAGGAGGTGTTCTTGTTCATTATTTAAAACAATAAATTGAAACTCAAGACCAGGATAGGATGTAATTCAATAACAATACATCCTCTGCTTTTTCCCAGTAGTAAGATTGTGTCAGGGCTTTACTCATTCTCAAAGCACAGAAGCCTGTTAGGATATGCTATTAAACAAGTCATTGCAGAATATAAAGGTAAGTTAGTAAGGGACAGATTTTCTGCCGTTGAAGCAGTGCTTTGGAAAGAACATGAAACTGGGTGCCTCAGTCGTTAAGCGTCTGCCTTTGGCTCAGTTCATGATCCCAGGGTCCTGGGATCGAGCCCTGCATCGGGCTCCCTGCTCCGTGGGAAGCCTGCTTCTCCCTCTCCCACTCCCCCTGCTTGTGTTCCCTCTCTCACTGTCAAATAAATAAATAAAGTCTTCAAAAAAAAAAGAACATGAAACTGACTCCTAATTCCAACTTCTCTTTGCTACTTTTGTATTTGTAAGGAAATCACTTAACTTTTCTGATTCTTGGTTTTCCGTAGAGTAAGGATAATAGTATCTACATTACACTTAATAACACTATTAAGAGGATAAAATCTGATTTCAAGTATTGATTATACTTGTAGATTATTAAATTATTAATTTTATGCAAATGTGAAATAATCTGATCACTAATTTTCCCTCCTGTTTAATGGCTATATTTTGTGATTATATTTCTATAACATATTATATGTCTCTAGTCTGTTACTTTTTATAGGGCTGGGTTCCTAGTAACATTTTGTCTGGTAATTCCATAACCATTTGTTTAAGGCCTATTAGATGCCAGGTAGTATTGCAGGTGTGTGAAAATGTGAAGGTAAACAAGATAATCTTTGCCTGGTAGTTAAAGAAACAGTTATATTATCAGGTAGATAATTTGTTGAATTTTAGAGATGGAAATAGATTAGTGGAACAAATACATTAGTTCACTTCATAAGGAAATGTACCACTGAAATTGCAGAGACACTTTTGTTTTGGTTTTGTGATTAAGTGTATTGTTTTTTTTCTTCATTTGTAACCAGCTTTTGGTAAGAATAGGTATCACTTGAGAAGGATTTAAGTTTCCTGTGTATGTGTGACTCTTGGATGTTGATGTTACCCTAATTTTTCTTCATATAATTAAAATAAGTACTAGTAGAATATCTTTGGTTTAGAACTGATAAGATTGGTAAAGATTAATAAGAACAATTTTAATTCATTTGTACAAATCATAGACAAGAAAGCTAAAAGGTCATCTTATCAGTGATTTTTAAATTATTTTTTAGAGGAGCATTAGAATTCTGTTGTTTTGCTGAGGTGTGTTAGGACCTGCTGAGCAGGGTCATTGCCTGCAGGGTTTGGTTCCCTGGGTTTGCCTACATCTCCTTCCCCCTTTCAACCAGAGTAGGTCCAACATTATGTTTATATGTTGGTGATAAATGTATGTTATTTTCCTTAAATAGTTTTTATGTTTAAAAATGTGAGTTAGGTAACTAGTCTTGTTCCCTCATTTTATTTATTTATTTATTTTAAGATTTTATTTATTTCACACACAGAGAGAGAAAGAGAGAGCACAGCAGGGGAAGTGACAGGCAGAGGGAGATGTAGGCTCCTTGCTGAGCAAGGAGCCTGATGCAGGGCTTGATCTCAGGATCCTGGGATCATGACCTGAGCCAAAGGCAGATGCTTAACCTACTGAGCCACCCAGGCGCCCCTCATTTTAATGACAAAATTAAATTACAGAGTACCAGAGAACTAAAGTTAAATGAAACCCTGATTTTCAAATTTCCATTGTTCAGTTAAATTATACTGCCTCCATGTGGCTTAGTGATATTAGAAATTTTATTAAGCGAATAATCCAGATTATATATATGACTGGATCTGACTTCAAGATTTCATTGACAATGTTAATATGAAGACATAGCATGAAATTTAAGTGAAAATGATTTGATATTGGTACTTTTTTATTTACAAAGTATTTTTTTAAGTACTAGAAATGTTCGAAATTGAAACTCCACAAATACGTTTTTATAATTTTCATTTATTTGAGAGCATGAGTGAGAGAGAAACAGAGAGAGAAGGAGCAGGGGGAGGGGCAGAGGGCAAGGGAGAAGCAGACTCCCCACTGAGCAGGGAGCCAGACATGGGGCTCGATCCTGGGACTCCAGGATCATAACCTGAGCCAAAGGCAGAGGCTTAACCGACTGAGCCACCCAGTTGCCCCGTCAAAGTTTTTTTTTTAAATTATTTTAACGCTGCCCTTAAACTCTTAAAACATTAAAGACCTCTTTCCTAAAGAATAGGATGTACTTCATTCATGGTTTTACATGCAGTATAAGTTAAATGAAGTGATTAAGGGCATAAAATTATCATTTGAGTTTTTACCTTAATTTTCATTAGTTTGATAAATATGCAGTTTCTCTGTAAAGTGAATGTTTATCAAACTTTCATTTGTCTTTTGGCATTAGAAAGTTCACTTAGTGCCTAACTTCTCACTTAACGAAGTTAAAAACAAGGTGATTTAGTATGATATGTAAGGACATCTAATAAACAGTTGCATTGTGTGTGAAATAAATAGAAGACCTGATTTTTTTTTTTTGCAATAAATGTGCATTGTTTTGGCCTTGACCTTGACATTTTGGCGAGATGAGTTCTTTAGGTTCTTTATTAAATTTAGAATTCTCTAGCATAAACGTAGACTAATGGCAAATTATACTCTTTTTCCTATTAATACATAATGATAATGAAATAATTTTTTTTAAAGATTTTATTTATTTGAGAGAGAGAGAATGAGAGATAGAGAGCACGAGAAGGAGGAGGGTCAGAGGGAGAAGCAGACTCCCTGCTGAGCAGGGAGCCCGATGTGGGGCTCGATCCCGGGAGTCCAGGATCATGACCTGAGCTTAACCAACTGAGCCACCCAGGCTCCCTGAAATAGTAATTTTTAAAGTAAAGATATAATTGACACATAACATTATATTAGTTTCAAGTGTACAACATAATCATTCAGTAATAGTATATATTGTGAAATGATTACTACAGTAAATCTAGTTAACAATTACAAGGCAAGAGTAATTTTAAATAATTTCAATTAATGACCACTAAATAGAATGGTTAGTGACTACTGAACAGAATGACTTTTAGGATCTATTTAGATCCAATTGTTAGGGTACTGAAAACTTACTTCAGTATAATCTGCCCTTTTTCTCAACTCCTCCTGATAATCGTTTTGATTTCTAAAAAAATAATGAAGTGATTATTAAGTCAAATTGATGCTTAATCTCACTCTATCTCTTTTTAAAATTATTTGCAGGAGAGGGCTTCTCACAATTTATATGGCCAATTTGGTAAGTAATTCCTTTTTTTGTTGTTGTTTCTTTTGAAGTTTTCCCATGTTCCTTTTTATCTTTCTTTTTTAAATTGAGTTCCCTTAAAAAAAAAGGAGAGGAAAGCTACTGAAATTTCAGAAGATCTTCTGTCTCTGTTTTGAAAGATAGTCTTAAGTGTTTAAAAGAGCCTTGAAACCATCTAGTTTATTCCTATCATATATGACTTATTCCCATTTATTTCAGGAGGTCAGTGATTACCTGCCTGTGCCCTTCATGACTGTTTTGTCCCTTAAGTATAGATCTTCATCTTTGATAGGATATATATCTCTATGTATCTCTTTCTCCATATCTTCAATTTCATTTCATACTCTGCTTCTCTTGCCATTTCTTTTGGGAAAATGATTTAAGGATGAGCTTTTGTGATGTCATTATTCTTGGACCTTAGAACAACATTGGTCCTATCTCCAAACACTGAGTATATTTAATAACATAATTATCTGGTCTTCTAAATTTCAAAGTTTATAGGAATCAGATCAGTGTTGTCTAGTCTGATATTCTTTATGGTAAATATATAATCAAGATTATATAATTTTCATTGCCAAGTTCATTATTTAAAAATGTATTTACAGGGGCTCCTGGGTGGCTCAGTCGTTAAGCGTCTGCCTTTGGCTCAGGTCATGATCCCAGGGTGCTGGGATTGAGCCCCGCATCAGGCTCCGTGCTTGGCCGGAAGCCTGCTTCTCCCTCTCCCACTCCCCCTGCTTGTGTTCTTGCTCTCGTTATCTCTGTCTGTCAAATAAATAAATAAAATCTTAAAAAAATGTATTTACATGAAAAATTTTTAAAGTTGTTTAATAGCATTAATAGGCAACATTGAAAAATTCAACTAAGAAAAAATTATCTGAGGAGAGGTTCTTGAATTCTCTAACAAGGGAATATAGTTCAGAGTTCTATTTAGAAACTCATTTCAGGTATAAAATATTAAATTTTTGCTCTGCGCTTACCATATGTCCATTACTGTGCTGTCTGCTGATAGGATGGAGATAGTTCTTATACTTAAGGAGTTTGCTGCCTAGTGAAGAAGTCGCAGTAGAAATAATAATGTTTGAAAAGGACTGGAATATAAATAATAGCATGCTGTGAAAACCATAATAGTGACACCAAACTATTGTGGGTGCTGCTCTTCTTTCTCACTTTTTCAAGATACTTAAAAATATTTCTCCATAGTACTAGAATGGATTTGAGTTTTAATGTGGTTTTTTTTTTTCTTTAACCATGAACATGCTTTTCTATATTACCACATGGTATGTACTTTAATACACAAATACTATCTGTATTTACATACTTAACTTTAAATTCTAAGTAAAGTTTCACAAACTTTTTTTGTGTGTCTTGCCTGGTTTAGGTTGTTAATTCTTGGAGAGATGATCTTTGACTTTGATATAATCAGTGTTGGAGGTTGCCCTTAATATATTGTGTTTTTTAAGAATAAGCCTTTTATTGAAGGAATCATACATAGATTCATATGCAGCTGTAAGAAATAATAGAGATCTCATATACACTCCGTTTCCCCTGTAGTAGTATCTTACAAAACTATAGTAGTATCAAAATTATATTGATGTTGATATTTACTGTAGTCAAAAGAGAGAACCTTTCTTTTATGAGAAGAATCAAAACTTAATTTTGATCCTTTTTTAAGGATATTTTAATCATTAACCACAAAATTTTAATGAGATCAAAGGCCTTTTAAACATAGATTTTGACTGTTTAAAGGAAAGTGAACTTACACATAATATATTCTTGGTATACCAATGATAACCTAATAAGCTTAATTTTCTTAATCTAAATAGGGCCTTTTGTTTATACTATTACTATAAAACTATTTCTTTATTAAGAGAGTAGTTGGTGCAGAGTAGGTAAAGATTTAAATATTTTCAGAGACTGAATTCAGCTTTAAGAAATAACTTTGTTCTAGAACTTGATTGTATTGGTTATTAGACTAAGTTAAAGTTGTTGGCTTATAATATCAACAACAATATTTCTAAATGATAGGATCTTTTATTTTAAAATTATTTATTGTATTTATGTATGTATTTCTGATTTGGAAAGTACAGAAGAGCATAAAAGTCATCTGTAATTTTACCATGTAGTAATTACTACCATTTTAATGTTTTTTATTCCCTTCCTTCTCCTCCAGTGTACGTACATAAACACACAAACAGAGATGCACATTCACATTACATATTATATACCCTTTTTAAAATATTGGGGAAATATTATTTTGTGACATCTTTTATTACTGTGCTGTATAGTTTTTATTGCTCATGGTATTAAATAATCATTTTTTGGAGGGTGTACTCCTACCTTTCCACTTCTTGTTATATCTTCATGACAGTGGGTTGGTTTCATACATATACATATATGCACAGCCCCAAAATGTTGGGAGACAATGAAATAATAACTGTTTGGTTAGTAACAATATCATCTTGTTATTTTTAGCTGTGATAGTTATCGGTCCTTAGTCATTTTAACCAGAAAATTTCAAATGCATTGGCATGCCTTTGAAAGAGTACAAGATAGAAGAATATGCAGAACTGGCTTCATATTATCTTTATTATCTTTGTCTTTATTTTTATTAGTAAATACTTATTGCATGCACAGCACTTTGCTAGGTATTGGGACACAAATAATAAGCCATTATTCTGTCCTCAAAATTAATTTAGTTGAGAGTACAGGTATACCTAGATCTGGCTTTAAAATGAATAGGTAATTAATCGGGGCACCTGTGTGGCTCAGTTGTTAAGCGTCTGCCTTCAGCTCAGGTCATGATCCCAGGGTCCTGGGATCGAACCCCACATCGGGCTCCCTGCTCAGCCGGAAGCCTGCTTCTCCCTCTCCCACTCCCCCTGTTTGTGTTCCCTCTCTCTCTGTGTCTCTCTCTGTCAAATAAATAAATAAAATCTAAAAAAAAAAATAAAATGAATAGGTAATTAATAGTCCAAGATAGTGCATTCATGTCAAACATGTGATAAGACAATATAGTCTTTCGAACTTCAGAAAAGGAAGTTAGCTTTGGGTAGGAGCAATCAGAAAGTTTTATGAATTACATGGGACTTGAACCTTGAAAAAAGGAGGGGACTTTGAGGCAGCTCCATCTTGGAGATATGTCATTGGTGACCACAGGACAAAATTCTTGCCTTTCCAGGGATTGCCAAGCTGGGGTCAAGGTTTATGAACCAAAAACGGATAAGAACCATTGAGCCTCTACTGTGTTAGACACTGTAAATGAAACTGGAGTCATTAAAATAAGCAAGGTCATATAGTTTCTGCTTCTGGGGGACCTTCTACTTTACTGGGGAGAGAAATATGTAAACTAGTGGAAATAAACCTCATTTCTGTTTTTTTTTGTATTAATAGTTGTCTCAAAACAGAAAACAGTATAGTGTTTCTACTATGCAGTTTTGAGTATACATTTTGCTGGTTGTGTTTGTGTTAGTGTTGTAGGGAACAGGTGAAGAGCCAGATAGTCTAAATAAAGGCATTTCTATTAGTGCTTTTGTCATTATCAAAAGGTCTTTTCTGGTCTCCCTTATAGTTACTCTTATTACCCATGAAATCTGTCAGTAAGCCCTGGCAAGTCTCTTATTAGATCAGTAGTTTATAGCCTTAAAGATTAGCAGTTTTAATAATTACAAACTTAAGGCAATTGAATTACTACCCATCTGAGAGTGTTTTTTGTTATGTGTTTGTTAGCAATTTTGGAAGGAAAAGTGTACAATTTAAAAATAGTATAGTTTTTTAGCTTTTTAGAATTGATAGAGAACTAGTTGTTAACAGGCAAAATATATGAAATGTATAGACAAGGTATAAAGTAAAGAATTAAATGTTTTCTCTGGCTTCTGCCCAGGATAAGGCTCTAAAATGATGGAAGTGTTTTCTTGGAGCTAATATACTAGAACCAGTTACCTACAAGAACACCAGGTGCTTAGATTCAACTTTGCCACAGTATTATTTAAAAGAGAACACATAAAAGTTTGCATTGATATAATTTCCCTTTATTATGTTGGTTGTGACAATGACAGGGTCCTAGTCTTTCAAAATTCATCAGATACTGCTAACAGTTATTTAAAATGTGATGTTAGGTGTAGGTCATTTATGTTTAGTTTAATTATAATTTATGACATTTAAAAATCTTCCTATACAGGTCCTTTTGAAAACTTTTCTCTGCAGTTTCATTTATGCAATCAAGCATTCAACAATGCATGTGTTTTAAAATTGTAAATACATATTTAGTAGGCCTGCTGCTAGCATTTGTGTTTTAATTCTAAACATGCAGTGTCTGTGATTAAATCATCTGTATTTGATTTTTCAAACAAGGTTTGAAAATGTTGATTCATATGTTTTCTTGTAAGGCCACTTCAATTTAAGTAGATTTAGCAGCTATTTATTATATATCAGTACTGTGTTAGGCACATGAGGATACAAAAGAAATACAAAATGGATTGTAAACTAGTTGGAGAAATTTGACAGATGAACTTGAAAGAAAGAAACTGAATTGTGTAAGACTGTTGAATCACAGACCTGTACCTGTGAAACAAATAATACATTATATGTTAAAAAAAAAAAGAATTAGCAGGAAGGGAAAAATGAAGGGGGGGAATCGGAGAGGGAGGTGAACCATGAGAGACTATGGACTCTGAGAAACAAACTGAGGGTTCTAGAGGGGAGGGGGTGGGGGGATGAGTTAGCCTGGTGATGGGTATTAAAGAGGGCACGTACTGCATGGAGCACGGGGTGTTATACACAAACAATGAATCATGGAACACTACATCCCATGAGAGACGGTGGACTCTGAAAAACAAACTGAGGGTTCTGGGGGGGGGCGGAGATGGGTTAGCCTGGTGATGGGTATTAAAGAGGGCACGTTCGGTGTGGAGCACTGGGTGTTACGCACAAACAATGAATCATGGAACACTGCATCAAAAACTAATGATGTAATGTATGGTGATTAACATAAT